CTTTTCCCTTTGTTTTTCTTAGATCTGACAAAGACACATTGGATTGAGTCATCCTATCTTTTTCTTAAAATCCAAATTTGTCTAAAATACAGATTTGTCTGTATCTCTTCTTAATTAACTATTCTCTTCTTGAACTTTGACACTGAACTTGAGGAATTCTAGGTAATAGCAGCTATTCTGGTTACCTTGATATGAATAGCTTATTCTAGATTGCTAAGGGCATGTTGTTTGTTTGTTAATTTATATATTGGATTATGATGGAAATAAACTGAAAAAGATACTGACATTTGCAATGTACAGCCTTATGAAAAGCAGCAATCAATTAGATCAAAAGTAATCAGAAAAAAAAATTCAGTCACCTGCAACTTCTGAAAATTCAATAAATACTTTTTTTGGACATAGTTTGCACATGCACACATTATCTGTTATCTGTTATCTGTCATTATTGAGTTACCAGAAAACTCATCAACTCCTTCTTAGTAACGGGAACCGGAAATGCATCTATTGCTCTCATCTTCTCTCTCACTGGACGCACCTGTCCTTGCCCTACTACTTTACCCAGGTATGTCACCGTCGCTCCTGCAAACTCACACTTAGCCAGATTCTATGTAAGATTTGCCTCAGTAAGACGAACCAACAGAAGGCGTAAACGTTTCAGATGTTCTGGCCATGTATCACTTACCACGATTGTATCATCTAGATCAGTGATTTTCAACCAGTGTGCCGCGGCACACTAGTGTGCCGTGAGAGATCGTCAGGTGTGCCCTGGGAAATTATCTAATATCACCTAATTAACCATTGTTGGGTGTCTGCTGTAATAAAGTGTGGCAGATAATGTAATACTCTTCTATTTCAGTGGGTGGCAGCAGAGGGCGATAAATGCCTGTAAAGACGCTGCCACCCACTGTCACGTGTCGCGCAGCAGTAGTGCGCACGTGACAGTGACAGTTTGGGATCTCAGCAAGACGAGCAAGTGACAGTGATGGAGAAGTTTTTGAGAAGGGAAAATGCAAATGCCGAACAGGGCCCTGGACAAAATTCTGACCCAGATGAAGGCCCTAGTATGAGTGGTCAAACGAAAAAAGACAAGACGGTGAGCTCGAGGCAATACAGCGAAAGCTATCTTTCATTTGGATTTACTTTCACCGGGGATGCGACAGCACCGACTCCGCTGTGCTTGGTGTGTGGTGAGAAGCTATCCAATAGCGCCATGGTGCCAAGCAAGCTTAAACGCCATCTCCAAACGAAACACCCTTTCGTTCAAAATAAGCCGATGGACTATTTTGTACACTTACGTACAAACAATGAGAAACAGGCAACTTTTTTGAGAAAAACCACAAAGGTAAACGAGAGAGCCCTCAAAGCTAGCTACCTTGTTGCTGAACTCGTAGCTAAATCAAAAAAGTCCCACACTGTGGCAGAAACATTAATACTGCCAGCTTGTAAAGCCATTGTAAATGAGATGATCGGCCCTGACGCGGCCAAAGAGATAGCTAAAGTGCCTCTCTCAGATAACACAATTGCCAGACGTATTGATGACATGTCTGCGGACATCGAAACTGTTGTTTTGGAAAAGATGCGCATCAGTAAGAAATTTGCCTTGCAACTTGATGAGTCGACGGATATTAGTGGACATTGTCAGCTCTTGGCCAACGTGCGTTTGGTGGATGGAGAAGCCATTAGAGAAAACTTCCTATTTTGCAAGGCACTGCCAGAAAAATCAACAGGAGAGGAAATATTTCGGGTCACGTCGGAATATCTTGACAAAAGCGGGTTTACGTGGGAAAACTGCGCAGGTGTCTGCACTGATGGAGCCGCAGCCATGGTCGGGCGGATCAAAGGCTTCGTAAGTAGGGTCAAAGAAAGAAACCCAGATGTTATTGTTACGCACTGTTTTTTGCACCGTGAGGCCCTCGTTGCAAAGACCTTACCAGCAGATCTAGCTCCTGTGTTGGATGATGTTGTGCACATAGTGAACTTTGTGAAAAGTCGACCTTTGAAATGTCGCTTATTTGCGTCTTTGTGTGAGGAAATGGGAGCGGAACATAAGGTCTTATTGCTCCACACGGAGGTCCGGTGGCTGTCGCGCGGCAAAGTGCTGGCCCGTGTGTATGAGCTGCGAGAGGAACTTAAAGTATTTCTGACAAACGAGAGGTCCGATTACTCAAAGCTGCTTGCAAGTGATGAGTGGTGTGCAAAGCTGGCATACCTGGCTGATATATTTCATCATCTGAATGAACTGAACACACGGATGCAAGGCCGAAATGAAAACCTGCTTACAAGCACTGATAAAATGAACGGATTCCGTTCAAAGGTGCAGCTCTGGCAACAACATGTGCAGCGTGGCAACCTTGAGATGTTCCCGCTCACCGAGAAACTGCATGATGGCAACACTGCTGCAATGTGCGAGGTGATTGGCACACATTTGAAAACTCTCGAGGAGAAGTTGTCATTTTATTTCTCTTCAGCCTTCACAGAATGCCTTGACTGGGTTAGGGACCCATACAGCTCAGCATCCATTGCTGGAAAGGACATGACTTTAAAGGAGCAAGAGGAACTCATTGAACTGAAACAAGATCGTGGTTTAAAGCTAAACTTTGCTGATCTTCCTTTGGACAGGTTTTGGTTATCTGTTGCCAAGGAGTTCCCCACTCTGGCCAACAAAGCTATTTTGACATTGCTCCCGTTTTCAACCACATATCTATGTGAGCTGAGCTTCTCAAGCTTGACTGCGATAAAAACAAAAAACAGAGAGAGACTGAGAGCTGTTGAGGAAGAGCTTCGTGTGTGTCTTTCTACCATTCCTGCCAGGATATCTATTTTGTGTTCATCGAAACAGGCCCAGGTTTCACACTAAGTGAGTATAAATACATTTAGAAACTATATTATTAACTATAGGCCTATGTATTATATGTACTGTGTTAGAGTGTCATTTTGTGTCATTTTGGTTGGTGGTGTGCCCCAGGATTTTGTAAATGTAAAAAATGTGCCGCGGCTCAAAAAAGGTTGAAAATCACTGATCTAGATATACCGTCATGCCCTCTAATCCCGCAATAATGCTATTCATCAACCTTTGAAACGTCGCCGGGGCATTTCGAAGACCGAAACTCATAACCCGGTAATAAAACAGCCAATTTGGTGTTATAAAATGATGAAACCTCACGTGCGTCAATCGGATCTGCCAGTAACCTTTTAGTAGGTCTAATTTGGTCACAAACTTCGCAGCACCGACCTGATCAACACAATCCTCCATTCTCGGCAGAGGAAAACAGTCTGGTTTTGTAACCGAATTTAGTTTCCCATAATATGAAATTATTTTTGTGCCGATAATAATGAACGTAACTTTTCAAGAAACTCATGAAAATATAAATTGAAATTGAATAAAATATCTTTAAAAAAGAATGAATCGCAAGCAATTTTTTTTACTTTGTTTTTAATACACTGCATGTTTTGCTAACTATTCCTCATATTTCTTTTACTGATCTAAACTTACAAATGCGTTTTCATTTACACTTCTGAAGTTTTCGTTTGCTTCTGAAGTTTTCATTTACGCTTCTGAAGTTTTCGTTTACGCTCCCTGAGTTTTCGTTCGCTGTTCCGACACAAATCTCTCGTGGGGGCGGGGCTAGTAGCAGTGTGTTCTCATTGGCTACTGAGTTTTTGATTGACAGCTTCTTGACCTGGAAGTGAAGACGTCAGTGTTGCGTTTACTTGTGTGGATGTGAGCGTCTGTAAGCGCAGCTTTCTATTTAATTTTAGTGATATTAAGTTATGTTTGTTTTTGAATTTTATCTGTATTTTTATACATACTGCTGCTGCTGCTACTTTGTCAACAGAATCTTTTAGGAGCGCAAGAGATCTCTTCAGTCTATTCAGGTGTAATTCTACATCAAAGTAGGCCTACTGTATATGCCTACTTAAAATATTGTGTCCAATGTTTTAGGAGAGTATTTGTTTATTCCTGATGATTCTTTTGCATGTTAGGCTCTGATTAGGTTGTGCTATTACAATTTAAAGAGAATAGCCTACTAGTATACGTGTGTGATATATTCAGCCGTCAAGAAAGTTTCACTTCAACCAGGTAATCAAGGTTGGCAACCATGGCCATCAAATTTCTCATTGTTACCATATGCATTTACACCATCAAAATGTATGATCACTTAAATAAGAGGAATTTAAACTATGAAAATTACAATCGTGGCTTGCTGTCAGATGATACAGACCTCAAAGGGCATTTCATTACATATTTCACACAAAGAATATTTTTGTTGCCATTTTTTTAATCATGCTGATAATTTTATTTATTTCATTTAGTTAATATTATCTTCTAACATTTAAAATTGTAAATATATTTGAACAATCATCAACAGGTTCAATTATGACTTATAAAATCAGTTAAATGAATTTAAATAAAAAATCAAATAAATTTTACATTCTTTATTGTCACTACAGCATATACACAAGTATCAAAGTGAAAGTCTTGGATGCGATTATGTTGTGACAGGAAAGACCAGAAGCCACAAAACATTAACTGCTTACTATACATGACATGTAATGCACTGTATTCTCATAATATACATACAAAATGCATAATTACAAAGATTTTTAAGGAATTAGTGGATTGTAACCCATGTATGACAGTTGGTCGGAAGTGATTTTTAATAGTTAAAACAGTTTACATTATTAGTATTTTTCTTATCCTATTGTTTCCCTCCAGAAGGCATTGATTCGTCCACTGAGGTCGCTTGGACATCACGCTCACTGTGTGTGGTTTTTAAAGCATCTTTAGGACTCGCAGAGATGGATTACTTTCCTTAAAATCTTAATTCGTATTTATCTGTAGAAAGAAAGTAAAATGCATCTGGGACAGCATGAGGGTGAGTAAAATAAGTGAGAATTTAATTTTTGGGTGAACTATCCCATTCATATGCTGTTGGTATGCTAATCCATGATCAGCATAGACTAATAAGAATAAACTGCAACCTCTTGTGTACTTGTAAACTGTGTTTGTTTTAATCTAGAGCTCCAAAGAAATTAAAATATTTGCTATTTTATAATATTAAAATAAAATACATCAGGTGTCTGAAGATCAGGATCCCAGTCATTCAAAGGTGATATGTCTGAACAAAGTAACATTATTGTCTGATGGAGACAGTTGATCTCTGGTATTATCACTCCATCCTCTGTGTCAGCATCAGAATTGTGTTTATGGAAAAGTTGCTCAACTCCCTGGAAAATGAGAAAGGAAATGTATTATAATCTAACAATACAAACTGCTTTGAACTCCCACATGCAGTAACAAGTTGCAGACTTAAAATAATTATTTCAAACAAATTATATAAATGTTCTAAGGGATTTTACAGTACTAAATATTTACCTCCGAGTCATGCACCATTTATCATCTGTAATACTGTTGTGTAACCAGTAGATGGCTGTATAGCCCTATAAACATTTATCCATGGCTGTGTATTCCCTAGTTCAACCTAGATGTTTTCAGTCATAATTACTTGCATGTATTAGGTTTTGCATTTGGACATATATTTATTATTAAAGACTATTAAAAATTCAACATTTTTCTCCGAAATGTTTTTTTTTTTTTTTTGCATTATTATTGCTCAAATATGGACACAGAAAAAGCATTTTGTTGCATTTTGCAGAATAAATATTGCGCCCAGGGTGATACTTCAAAATAATTGAGTGTTTACATATTATGAATAGAGACGTGAAATGTGGTCAAGTCCTGTCTCTCCTCTTTTAAAAACTCTGCATCGCAAATTAATCAGCAATTGGCTTTACATTGCTAAAGTTGAATCGGGCAGTGATTGACAGCGCTCTGGTCCAATGGCATCGGCCATTGTCTGATACAGTACTTCTTGTACTGTAGGCTACAGTACAGATACTGTACAGTACTCTAGCCCAATGTTGTTTGGGGTGGCAGGGGGGAAATATGATCTAATCGAAGACTGTAATGTAACCGTATGTAACGTTAGATAAACAAGTCATGTAATGATTGGGCTAACTTACCAATTAAATCAAGACGACACTGCTGTATAATGTTATGGGCTCTCACTGAGCTCTAATATGCCTCTCCACCTGAAAAAGCACGTACTGTATTATAAATAGTATTAGTTTAGTATTAATTAATAAAAAAAATCTGACTTACCACGAGTAGGCTATCCAGTATTCTGATATCGACGATGACAAATTATATCATTTGTCTGTACTATTCCTTCTATAAGAAATCATCTCAACAATATAGTGTAGCAGTAAATAAATACAGATATAAACTTAATATCACCTAAATGAAATAGAAAGCTGCGCTTACAGACGCTCACATCCACACATGTAAACACAACACTGACGTCTTCACTTCCAGGTCAAGAAGCTGTCAATCAAAAACTCAGTAGCCAATGAGAACACACTGCTACTAGCCCCGCCCCCACGAGAGAATTGTGTCAGAACAGCGAACGAAAACTCAGGGAGCGTAAATGAAAACTCTGGAAGCGTAAATGAGAAAACTCTGGAAGCGTAAATGAGAAAACTCTGGAAGCGTAAATGAAAACTCTGGAAGCGTAAATGAGAAAACTCTGGAAGCGTAAATGAGAAAACTCTGGAAGCGTAAATGAGAAAACTCTGGAAGCGTAAATGAGAAAACTCTGGAAGCGTAAATGAGAAAACTCTGGAAGCGTAAATGAAAACTCTGGAAGCGTAAATGAAAACTCTGGAAGCGTAAATGAAAACTCTGGAAGCGTAAATGAAAACTCTGGAAGCGTAAATGAAAACTCTGGAAGCGTAAATGAGAAAACTCTGGAAGCGTAAATGAAAACTCTGGAAGCGTAAATGAAAACTCAGGGAGCGTAAATGAAAACTCTGGAAGCGTAAATGAGAAAACTCTGGAAGCGTAAATGAGAAAACTCTGGAAGCGTAAATGAAAACTCTGGAAGCGTAAATGAAAACTCTGGAAGCGTAAATGAAAACTCTGGAAGCGTAAATGAGAAAACTCTGGAAGCGTAAATGAAAACTCTGGAAGCGTAAATGAGAAAACTCTGGAAGCGTAAATGAAAACTCTGAAGCGTAAATGAAAACTCTGGAAGCGTAAATGAGAAAACTCTGGAAGCGTAAATGAAAACTCTGGAAGCGTAAATGAAAACTCTGGAGGCGTAAATGAGAAAACTCTGGAAGCGTAAATGAAAACTCTGGAAGCGTAAATGAGAAAACTCTGGAAGCGTAAATGAGAAAACTCTGGAAGCGTAAATGAGAAAACTCTGGAAGCGTAAATGAGAAAACTCTGGAAGCGTAAATGAGAAAACTCTGGAAGCGTAAATGAAAACTCTGGAAGCGTAAATGAAAACTCTGGAAGCGTAAATGAGAAAACTCTGGAAGCGTAAATGAAAACTCTGGAAGCGTAAATGAAAACTCAGGGAGCGTAAATGAAAACTCTGGAAGCGTAAATGAGAAAACTCTGGAAGCGTAAATGAGAAAACTCTGGAAGCGTAAATGAAAACTCTGGAAGCGTAAATGAAAACTCTGGAAGCGTAAATGAAAACTCTGGAAGCGTAAATGAGAAAACTCTGGAAGCGTAAATGAAAACTCTGGAAGCGTAAATGAGAAAACTCTGGAAGCGTAAATGAAAACTCTGAAGCGTAAATGAAAACTCTGGAAGCGTAAATGAGAAAACTCTGGAAGCGTAAATGAAAACTCTGGAAGCGTAAATGAAAACTCTGGAGGCGTAAATGAGAAAACTCTGGAAGCGTAAATGAAAACTCTGGAAGCGTAAATGAGAAAACTCTGGAAGCGTAAATGAGAAAACTCTGGAAGCGTAAATGAGAAAACTCTGGAAGCGTAAATGAGAAAACTCTGGAAGCGTAAATGAGAAAACTCTGGAAGCGTAAATGAGAAAACTCTGGAAGCGTAAATGAGAAAACTCTGGAAGCGTAAATGAAAACTCTGGAAGCGTAAATGAGAAAACTCTGGAAGCGTAAATGAGAAAACTCTGGAAGCGTAAATGAAAACTCTGGAAGCGTAAATGAGAAAACTCTGGAAGCGTAAATGAGAAAACTCTGGAAGCGTAAATGAAAACTCTGGAAGCGTAAATGAAAACTCTGGAAGCGTAAATGAGAAAACTCTGGAAGCGTAAATGAAAACTCTGGAAGCGTAAATGAGAAAACTCTAGAAGCGTAAATGAAAACTCTGGAAGCGTAAATGAGAAAACTCTGGAAGCGTAAATGAAAACTCTGGAAGCGTAAATGAAAACTCTGGAAGCGTAAATGAAAACTCTGGAAGCGTAAATGAAAACTCTGGAAGCGTAAATGAAAACTCTGGAAGCGTAAATGAGAAAACTCTGGAAGCTTAAATGAGAAAACTCTGGAAGCGTAAATGAGAAAACTCTGGAAGCGTAAATGAAAACTCTGGAAGCGTAAATGAAAACTCTGGAAGCGTAAATGAAAACTCTAGAAGCGTAAATGAGAAAACTCTGGAAGCGTAAATGAAAACTCTGGAAGCGTAAATGAAAACTCTGGAAGCGTAAATGAAAACTCTTGAAGCGTAAATGAAAACTCTTGAAGCGTAAATGAAAACTCTTGAAGCGTAAATGAAAACTCTGGAAGCGTAAATGAGAAAACTCTGGAAGCGTAAATGAGAAAACTCTGGAAGCGTAAATGAAAACTCTGGAAGCGTAAATGAAAACTCTTGAAGCGTAAATGAGAAAACTCTGGAAGCGTAAATGAAAACTCTTGAAGCGTAAATGAAAACTGGAAGCGTAAATGAAAACTCTGGAAGCGTAAATGAAAACTCTTGAAGCGTAAATGAAAACTGGAAGCGTAAATGAAAACTCTTGAAGCGTAAATGAAAACTCTGGAAGCGTAAATGAAAACTCTGGAAGCGTAAATGAGAAAACTCTGGAAGCGTAAATGAAAACTCTTGAAGCGTAAATGAAAACTCTTGAAGCGTAAATGAAAACTCTGGAAGCGTAAATGAAAACTCTGGAAGCGTAAATGAAAACTCTGGAAGCGTAAATGAAAACTCTGGAAGCGTAAATGAGAAAACTCTGGAAGCGTAAATGAGAAAACTCTGGAAGCGTAAATGAAAACTCTGGAAGCGTAAATGAAAACTCTGGAAGCGTAAATGAAAACTCTGGAAGCGTAAATGAAAACTCTTGAAGCGTAAATGAGAAAACTCTGGAAGCGTAAATGAAAACTCTTGAAGCGTAAATGAAAACTGGAAGCGTAAATGAAAACTCTTGAAGCGTAAATGAAAACTCTGGAAGCGTAAATGAAAACTCTGGAAGCGTAAATGAAAACTCTTGAAGCGTAAATGAAAACTCAGGGAGCGTAAACGAAAACTCTGGAAGCGTAAATGAGAAAACTCTGGAAGCGTAAATGAGAAAACTCTGGAAGCGTAAATGAGAAAACTCTGGAAGCGTAAATGAAAACTCTGGAAGCGTAAATGAAAACTCTGGAAGCGTAAATGAAAACTCTGGAAGCGTAAATGAAAACTCTGGAAGCGTAAATGAGAAAACTCTGGAAGCGTAAATGAAAACTCTGGAAGCGTAAATGAAAACTCTGGAAGCGTAAATGAAAACTCTGGAAGCGTAAATGAAAACTCTGGAAGCGTAAATGAGAAAACTCTGGAAGCGTAAATGAAAACTCTGGAAGCGTAAATGAAAACTCTGGAAGCGTAAATGAAAACTCTTGAAGCGTAAATGGAAACTCTTGAAGCGTAAATGAAAACTCTGGAAGCGTAAATGAAAACTCTGGAAGCGTAAATGAGAAAACTCTGGAAGCGTAAATGAGAAAACTCTGGAAGCGTAAATGAAAACTCTGGAAGCGTAAATGAAAACTCTTGAAGCGTAAATGAGAAAACTCTGGAAGCGTAAATGAAAACTCTTGAAGCGTAAATGAAAACTGGAAGCGTAAATGAAAACTCTGGAAGCGTAAATGAAAACTCTTGAAGCGTAAATGAAAACTCTGGAAGCGTAAATGAAAACTCTTGAAGCGTAAATGAAAACTCTGGAAGCGTAAATGAAAACTCTGGAAGCATAAATGAGAAAACTCTGGAAGCGTAAATGAAAACTCTTGAAGCGTAAATGAAAACTCTTGAAGCGTAAATGAAAACTCTTGAAGCGTAAATGAAAACTCTGAAAGCGTAAATGAAAACTCTGGAAGCGTAAATGAGAAAACTCTGGAAGCGTAAATGAGAAAACTCTGGAAGCGTAAATGAAAACTCTGGAAGCGTAAATGAAAACTCTGGAAGCGTAAATGAAAACTCTTGAAGCGTAAATGAGAAAACTCTGGAAGCGTAAATGAAAACTCTTGAAGCGTAAATGAAAACTGGAAGCGTAAATGAAAACTCTGGAAGCGTAAATGAAAACTCTGGAAGCGTAAATGAAAACTCTGGAAGCGTAAATGAAAACTCTGGAAGCGTAAATGAAAACTCTTGAAGCGTAAATGAAAACTCTTGAAGCGTAAATGAAAACTCAGGGAGCGTAAACGAAAACTCTGGAAGCGTAAATGAGAAAACTCTGGAAGCGTAAATGAAAACTCTGGAAGCGTAAATGAAAACTCTGGAAGCGCATTTGTAAGTTTAGATCAGTAAAAGAAATATGAGGAATAGTTAGCAAAACATCCCTTGTGAAAAAAAGTGCACTTTAGTGTGCTTTTATAAAGTGTACTTATTACACAAATAATATACTTTAAAGGTATACACTTAAGTGTGAATTAAATGCAATGTTTTCGGCGCACTGAATGCACATTAAGTGTAATTAATTTCAAATATATCATATATTAAGTTGAAATAAAATGTAATAAGCTGTCATTAAGAGTGATTTTTTGGTACCACTTAAAGGGTTAGTTCACCCAAAAATGAAAATTAAGTCATTAATTACTCACCCCCATGCTGTACCAACCCCGTAAGACCTTCGTTCATCTTCGGAACACAAATGAAGATATTTTTGATTAAATCTGAGAGCTGGATCACTGCTACATAGGCTTCCTAAGGGAGTGAAACTTGACGGCCCAGAAAGTCATTAAAGAAAATGTTTAAATATTCCATGTGCCTACAGTGGCTCCACTATAAGTTTATCAAGCGACGAGAATACTTTTTGTGCGGAAAAAAACAAAAATAACGACTTTATTCGACTATTCCATTGCTTCCTTGTGGGCCTGAGACGAGAGTTCAAGAGATTTCCAGGACGCATGCGCGAGAAGTGACCTTCTTCTTCTACTACACAGCGCGCGTCTTACAAGCAGAGGAAGACGCGTGCTGTACATAGTAGTAGAAGAAGGTCAGTTCTCGCGCATGAGTTATTTTTTGGAACAAATTAAGTGGGATTTTAATACATTTTTATATGAACTTTGAAATATGGTAAAAGTGTACTTCCAAATATACTGACACGCAATTAATGTGAACTAAAATATACTTTAATGTAATATACATGTACACTATTATATAATTAAATACATTTTTAATAAAAAATAATAATAATAAAGTT